AGACTTTGTTGGATGTTTGTAGCACACACACACACACACACACACACACACACACACACACACACACACACACACACACACACTCAGATCTCAGTGGCGACCCTGGCGCTGAGCTCCTCGGCCTCTCCCCTGCATGATCTTATCCCATCTCTGCACAGAAACACAAAAAGAGAGACGGAAAAGGACATTAATGAATCAGTGCACAATAACTAACGTCACATCAGAACTACAGCACGGTCACATGACTTCACGTCACCACCGCTAAGCTAAAGGCGGCTAATGTTGGGCTATAAAGGAACTACAGCACGGTCACATGACTTTACGTCACCACCGCTAAGCTAAAGGCGGCTAATGTTGGGCTATAAAGGAACTACAGCACGGTCACATGACTTCACGTCACCACCGCTAAGCTAAAGGCGGCTAATGTTGGGCTATAAAGGAACTACAGCACGGTCACATGACTTCACGTCACCACCGCTAAGCTAAAGGAGGCTAATGTTGGGCTATAAAGGAACTACAGCACTGCACCAGAAGTACAAATATTGCGACTGAAACAAAGTGGTTAGTGTAGTGTTAAACCGACCACTTATAATATAGCAGTCGGTGTTGACTTTATAGGCTACCCAAATATCCAATCAAATGTTAAACTGTTGATACAGACTGCATGTTATACAGTTCAGTTCAGTGTCCACTTATAAAGCCTCCACCTGTACCACTGCAGGTGTGTTTACACAGAAAATACCAGGAGACGCTGCTCTAAACTGCTGCTGCTGTGTGAGTGTGTGTGTGTGTGTGTGTGTGTGTGTGTGTGTGTGTGTGTGTGTGTGTGTGTGTGTGTGCATATTTGAATCGCACCTTGACCTTCCTGCCCATTTTTTCCCTCCACCTTTGAGCAATGGAGCCGTCAATCAGGAGCAACCTGCAACCACAAACACACAGTGAGGTTTATTCAGTCTTATCCTACATAACCCATGCTAAAGTCAGACAGAAATCATAAACATTTACCAAGTATAGACCCAACAATTTACGAGTAAAAACATTTGGAAACTAGACTTCAAATCAGACAGCAGGCAGCTTTCTTTGCTAACCCCTGATTCAACACATGTTTTACTCAAATCAGCTTTTTATATCTAGTTGAAGTTCAAGGATCTTATTGGTAATATCTGAAACAAAGGGTCCTTCAATTTTGGACAGCATTAGACAAAAGCAGCCTCTAATGAATTGGTTTGTCAGACCAGTTGAAGCTTGCTAGGTAATTAAAGTATGTCATTTCTGTTGCTATGGGGTCTCTCATTCAAAACAATTCAAAAAGACAGACTTTGATGATTCCGGACTTTGCAGCTGCACAAAATGTTGCATTGATGACATATTTTAGTAGGCAGAATCAGAAGGCATAGAGGCAGCGTTTCCCTGGTTACCTCAAAGAAAAGCCAATGGATTATTGAAGAAACGTTCAAATATCCTCATCTTGTGAAAACCACAGACCTTAGATGCAAGGACACCTCGAGGGCTGAAATGATCATTGACTCATTTTCAGGTTTTAGGATTAGTTCCTGCATCACTCTATTGTTGAACAACCACCATTGACGATCTATAGAGCGGAGCAGGGATAACGTGTTTTTGTAGTTCGACCCTGAAGGAAGCGGCTGGTTCCCTCGACAACAAGCAACCGGATTTCTCCATAGGATTTTGGAATATTGTAAAAAATAAGATCTGTGGAAAACCAACCTGTTTGATGAATGCACGTTTTGTTCAGCCGGATAATCTCCACATGTCTACCCTACTTTTATATCGAATCATAAATCTAATGGCCAGAAGCTAAATGCTAACGTTATGCTATAAAGGAGCTACAGCCGAGTCCAGCAGCACGACTTCAACGCAAACTTAAGATCCATATTCAAACACACAGATTGTAGATGGAACGAGTTGAAGCGTTTGTTTGAACAGTCTGCAGGAGGCAGGGACTTGCTTTCAAGCAGAACAGAAACTAACTTAGAAGAGTGTCTAAGTGTTCGGCGTGATGACGTACAACTGCCTCCACGACTTGGTAACAACCATCGTTTTTTCAGACACGTCAACTCTTCAGAAATCACTGCTGATGGATTTAATGTCATAGAACAAAACGTGATCCGTCTCTTTGTCTCAACCACAGACCTGATTTCAGATATTTTCCAAAAACATGTTCAAAATCCCATTGGCTCTGAGACGAGGGAACAGGAAGTGGTGAAATGCTGACTCACTTCCTGGTTTTAGGACTCGTCCCTGCACC